ACAGGGAATACCATCAGAGGTATTATGTTTGATAGGGTTTTGAGAAATTGATGATTTTATACCCACGCCTTTCGCTAATTGAAAATATAGCTGTGTTTTCGTAAATTGTTTTTTATATTTCAAAAAAGCGCACACTCTTTGGTCACGATTTTTCATTCAATAGCTTAACATTGAATTTAGTCATAATTATTGTTATTATATTTACTTATTTTTAATATTTTATAAAAAAAGTATACATAATTTTTTGCTTTTTGTTTTAGCATTAACTAATTTTATTGTTAACATAATGTTAGCGTTTAGTTTTAATATGGGTTTAGAATATACGTATTTATTTAAGCACATAGTAGAGCACCAAATCTAGTTGATAATAGTGGCCATTATATGGTCTAATATGTATAACCGTATGAATGAACGAACATTGTACTAATAATGGGGTATACAATACCCACCCCTCGTTGTGCAGCAACAAGAACAGGACCCGACGAACCTCTACATCGCGAACCTCCCGCCATATATGACTGAGACTGAGTTGGAATCGATGCTCAACCCATACGGCACTGTCATCTCGACCAGAATTCTGCGCGATTGCAGCAACAAGAACAGGACCCGACGAACCTCTACATCGCGAACCTCCCGCCATATATGACTGAGACTGAGTTGGAATCGATGCTCAACCCATACGGCACTGTCATCTCGACCAGAATTCTGCGCGACGCTAATATGCAGCCCCGGGGCGTCGGATTCGCCCGGTATGTCAAACATATCTTGCTATATTTCATTCTGTCATACATTTCATGTCTTGTGAACACTACTTTCTCTTATGTGTGTCCCTTATATTCTCATTACATCTCTCTCTCTCTCTCTCTCTTTCCATCTCTATCTCTCTATTCAAGTGTTATATTTGTTAGGAATGTCTGAAATCGAGTGCTTATAATATTAAATAAGAGATGTTTGTAGAGTTCAGTGTCTTTTCTATTATAATATTGATTTTGTATTTTATTATATTTTATGCTTTTTTGAACGTCGCTCTCAAGACATTTGATTTATTTGAATACACGATACGTTTGATTGACTCATTGTAATTGATGTGTTTGTTTGCGATTTGTAGGGTTACCAGAGTTCCCGAATGCCGGCCTCATCGCCACCGGTGTCCACCGCCAGCACAGGTGGTTCGTCACAGACTGCCTCCAACGGCTCGGCCTCAGCCAGCAGTTCGGGTTCAGCCAACTCCGGCCAAACCGGAAACGGCGGGATCGCCAACAACGGCGGCAACGGAGCGGCCAATGGAAACGCTTCGCTCGCCGAACAATTAAGCAAAACTAATCTCTATATACGGGGTCTCACACCGACCACCACTGATAAGGACTTATACGCTCTTTGCTCGCCGTATGTATACCTTTCGAGCCATATATTATGCGCAAACAGATTGTGTTTTTCACTTTGAATTGTTTGCATTTTTAGTGTAATTATATTAAATGAGTTAATTATAACATAACGACCAATTATGCAGTGTTTGTATGTATTTAAAGCAATTGGTCTACGGATTAGCTTTTTGTAGCCTTAGTTGTATAGAGATTTACAATTATGAACATTAATTTAAATGTATTTTACATACTTTAGACCATAATCTCTATTGTTTTAAAATATTTAATCATGTTTTGTATTGTTTTTCTAATGTTTTTCTATATATTTGTTTGCCTTTTGATAGTTACGGGACTATAATATCGACGAAAGCCATTCTCGACAAAAACACCAATAAGTGTAAAGGTTTGTGTCCTTCAATGCATTTAAATATATTCATCATTTTGTATCAAAATTATGCTCTTATGTATTGATTATTGTATTTGTGCACAAAATTGTGTCTAAATGAATATACAGTACAGTTTATGTTAGGTTATGGTTGTATATGGCATTCAATGGGTGCCCCGTTTCACGCATTTAACTCTACATATAATTAACATAAAATTATTTGTGTGTTCGCTATACGACCGGCCAATGGATTTAAAGCCCTAAACTGACAGTTGATTAATAATGGATTGCAATGAACGGCACTAAAATGGGCTTCATTTAATAGATTAGCTCACTTTCGCCTCTCTCTCTCTCTCTCTCTCTCTTTATTTTTGTCAGACCTTAAATTATAGTCCATTTTAGTGACATGTTTTGCACATTTGCATTGATATTAGTGTATATATTCTGTCGACCAAAACATTACTTAAAATGTATTTTAAAACATTTGTAAATATCAGACTTATTTTGAGAGTACTTTTACAGTAATTTATTATTATATAAGGTTTTAATGCATAGGCTTTTATTGACTTTTGAAATATTAATTTTCAATATAATTAATAGTCTTTTAGCAATTATTTTAAGACATTATTGTGAAAATATTGAATGTCTTTTTGAGACCGAAACTCAAAACCAATTCAATTTATTATACTTTTTCTCAAACACTGTTTTGTCAATAGTTTGAAATTTTAATATAATTTTATATATTATGTATTGATTTCTGTACTTTTTATCGGTGCCCTTGCTTTCAAATATATTAGATATTTATATTTAGTTATATTGATTGATATACTATGTGAATAGCTTTATAAAAAAAAGTTTCGGTTAAATATTAATGGTATTTAATGTCATCCATTGTCTCCCTATCTGTCACTCAATTTTATTTTCTATTCCAAAATATAACAATTGGTTTGATCTCTCATTTGTGTCCATAGGCTATGGTTTTGTTGACTTTGAATCTCCGATCGCAGCGGAAAACGCGGTGAAAAATCTCCAAACCCAAGGAGTTCAGGCACAGATGGCTAAGGTTTGCACCAAACAATCATTACTATATCATTGAAAACACTACCAAAAAACAAATTAAACACATTATTCTCTCATATATTGTGTTGGAGTTATGGATGAGTTTTGTTTGAGTTGTTGTTTGATTTACGCGTTATTTAGTTGTAAATTATAATTCAGTTTTTAGAGTATGAAAATGTTTGTGGAAATGAGTTATTCATATTTTTTTGGTGTGATTTTTGTTGTTTTCCGTAGATTTATATTTTATTTATTAACAGTTATTTTTATTGATTTTCTCGTATTATTACTTATAGTTATTATGATTTATTAATTTGAGAATTGATTTTGCTTTTTATTATCCGATTTTTATTTATAGATTTATATATAGTATTAATATTTTGTTTATTTTGTATATATTTATTGATTTTTTTGTGTTTCAAAAAACTCATAATTTATTTTCATAGTCGCATGAAATCTAATTTTTTAATGTGATTGAAATGTGTTTTAATAATTGACTGAAAATTTATATATTTATTGTGTTTGTGTTGTTGTGATCATAAAAGTCATCTATTTTTAAAAATTGCTTTAAATATAATTTCAAAAATTCATTTTTAATACATTGAAACAAACAATTTTTATTCACCACAAAACGCTTTGTTAATGTTTTTATGTCTCTAATTATTTTCTCTTCAAATTATGTCCATTTTTCTCCTTATATTTTACTGCTCTTCAAAAAACAATCCAAAAAACAAATGACAAAATTATAAAAAATACAATCAAAAAACAAAATTCACACCAAAATTACTACTACTGTTATATATTGTACTGAAATCTACTACTACTTGATGTGTGTCCTCTAATACCAGTGCACTGACACCAATCGGAACAAAATCTCTTCCCCGCAAACAAACAAATTGGTGAGGATTTAGGCTTAAGTGAAACATTTGTCATTCAAATTGTTTATGTATTTAAAATTACTATTTTTACACCTTTTTATAAGTTTTTTTACACACCAAACACACCGCAACCCATACTATATCTCTATCTATCACTATAACTATCACTTTATAATTATTCTGAATTTTAAGTTTTCTTTATCTTTGTAGTAATAGTTTTTATCTTTCTCTCCTATTCTGAACACTTTTTTGTATAGTTTTTGCTTTTTTTTATTTCCCATTTAATCTCGCTTTACATTTAATTTATTACTTAATTTTATCTATTTTTCTATTCTCTTTCTTATCTCACTTTAATCTCGTTTTATCAGAATTTTACATATTTTTCATTTTTGCTTAATTTTTTTATTGTTTTATGTATTTTTCTATCAATCGATTGCATGCTTTTCCCCATTTTCTTATTAATATAATTTTTTCAATATAATAATGTTTAAGCAATTAATTTTTATTGTAAAATAGTTTATATTCAATGTATTGTTATGTTTGAAATCTTTGTGTCAAAAGATGTGCGAAATACGAGTCTCAATGGGTTTCAGAAGTTTTTTTTTATAAAATAAATTTTGTCAAGAATTTGATCCTTTAAATAGTTTAAGTCTCTGTAGAGAATATTCTGAGACAAGAATTTGTTATTAACTCTGGGTTTTCACACATTGCGAGTAATATTTCATATTTGATAATACGTTTCGTTAGACATACAATATGTGAAATGTCGACAAAATTAGTGAATGTATTGTATATTATTTTTGTTGAGTGAATTACATGTGAAAAGGCAATGATTTTAATTGTTGTTTTAATATGTCCCTTATGGTAGTCTCCATAATACAAACTATCCCAAAACTCTTTAACTACTAAAATATGGGTGCGGAAAGCGATTAACTTTTATATCGACACAAAAGCATTTAACAAAAAATATAAAGTTTTTTACGCACACTCTTTGGTCACGATTTTTCATTCAATAGCTTAACATTGAATTTAGTAATAATTATTGTTATTATATTTACTTATTTTTAATATTTTATAAAAGTATACATAACTTTTTGCTTTTTTGTTTTAGTATTAATTAATTTTATTGTTAACATAATGTTAACGTTTAGTTTTAATATGGGTTTAGAATATATGTATTTATTTAAGCACATAGTAGAGCACCAAATCTAGTTGATAATAGTGGCCATTATACGGTCTAATATGTATAACTGTATGAATGAATGAACATTGTACTAATAATGGGGTATACAATACCCACCCCTCGTTATGCAGCAACAAGAACAGGACCCGACGAACCTCTACATCGCGAACCTCCCGCCATATATGACTGAGACTGAGTTGGAATCGATGCTCAACCCATACGGCACTGTCATCTCGACCAGAATTCTGCGCGATAACAATTTTGTCGGAGAAAAATCATTTTCAAACAACAATTTAAACTATAAATAGATTATTATATAATAGGATGAAAATGTTGCGCAAACCCTACCCTTCTTTGCTACTAAGAAAACGGGTATTACTTTAAAAAGTTATTTTCCTTTCACTGGAAAAGGGATGGAAAGGGAGGGCAACGGTATATGTCTTCAAACAAAAATCTAAACATTAATTTGATTTAGCGATTAGAGCCTAATCGCAAACAACCCAAAAAATACTCATTCAATACAACAGTAATGTATTAACCGATCGATTCGTAAATAAATATATATCTGGACAAAAATTACTGCATTTTCGTTTCGATAATAATTAGATTGAAAACAATAATACATATAATATTATTAATATATAATCTCTAAAATAGATTAAATTATATCGGAATATATACGGAAAAAATAATTCAAAGTTTTTGAAATAACAATTTACTTATGGATCGATTGGAGCGTAAAATGAATAAACTTTATAAAGAATTTTACAGACATTTCACAAATCAATACAGTAATTATTATTACGATATCGTTATTATTACATAAGAATCAATGGCATAGAAACAAATACTTTATATATTTTAATAACAAGGTTTTGCAGGCAATGTCAGCACATCTCATATACCATACGATCTCTAAAAGTATTAATATATAATAAATTTATAGATTTTTTTCGCTGAAACATACAATTTATACTCAAATATAAATTTATAATGTTTTTGACAACTGTTACAAAAAACCACTCAAATATATCTATCTATAAGGTTCTCTCTCTCTCTCTCTCTTATAGATTTTTTTCGCTGAAACATACAATTTATACTCAAATATAAATTTATAATGTTTTTGACAACTGTTACAAAAAACCACTCAAATATATCTATCTATAAGGTATAATCTCTCTCTCTCTCTCTCTCTCTCTCTCTCTCTCTCAGACGCATGTATTTATTAAATTTAAATTTAATCAATTGTATGAAACGGTGTACAAAAGATTGATATCCCATATGTTTGCATAGGAAGACTTGGGTCACAAAAACAAATTTATTTATTAATACTAAACCCAGTGTTAAAATGTGTGCTTCAAAAAAGATAAAGAAATAAAAAGCAATAAAATATTAGCGAAAATGCCATAGAAATGCAAAATACGGCCAATAAATGGGAATAAATTGGTAACAAAAACAAAATTAACTCAAGTCTGAATACCATACGAATGGAGAGAGAGAGAGAGAGAGAGAGAGATTGAAGGGGTAGATGGGATGTTGTAATTAATGAGAGTGAGTAGTGATGTTGGACTTACATCTCCGTCCCTCCAGCGGGACTCCTGTCCCTTGAATTGTGTCTTCTTTTTGTTGCCCCCGTCGGCGAACTTCACGAGTAGAGCCTCTTTACAACTCGGAAGCAGTTTTCCATTGAATATAGTGATGATTGACTCGCATTTCTCTTTGCTTTCCATACTATACACACAACAGAGAATACATGTTATAATCGATATCTCAAATGAGTACTGCATTTAAACATTTAATTAAACGATAAAAATGTGATGAAAACAACGGAAGAGTGGGAAACACCCAAAAAGACAGGACAGGAGAGAGTGAGTGACGAAAAAACATTTAATTACAAAAGTGTTTAATTCAATAAAATAAAGAGCAATAAAATGCAATAAATGTGTGAACAAAACGGTTGAGCATTAAGTGAGTTATCTATCGGTCGACAAGAATGAGAATTATGTGCGGGAATGGAGAGAGAGAGAGAGAGAGAGAGAGAGAGAGATCCCCTTAAATTAAGGGCCTTAATGTATATCAGTTAAAGTGAAATGCAATTAAAAATGAGAGAGAGAGAGAGAGAGAGAGAGAGAATGGAATAAAGTAGAGAATCGGAGAAAATATAAGAGAGAATGGAGAAGAATAACAAATAAGATTTAGACATGAGATTAACACTAAAAGATAGGCCAACAATATATGGATATATAAGTGCATCAAATCGCTTGAGAGATACGGCAACTGTTAATCAGTTTTCGCCAACATTTCTATTAATCAGTCGATAAGAAAAGCAAAAAATATATTCACAAAAAAAAATTAATTAAAAGACTAGACATTTTGGCCATAAAACTAACACTACATAAACACCCGCTACAGTCAAACCCTCGTTTCCATAATAAATTGAGCTCATTATAAATCGTAGAGAATATAATTTAATTTATATAAACGCCATAATAGAGTATTAGAATTTTCCTTAAAGTAAAAAATGAGTTCCTTATAAATGCCAACAAAATTGTTGCCAAAAATATAAATACAATTAACTGAACGAATCGATTGAAACGCAAACCCATAGCTATTCTGTGGATATAAAACCGGAATATATTGAGCAAAGAATTTAAATAAAATGACAAAATCAATGCAAATGTAATTAAAGGCTATTTATATATGAGGGACTGAGAGCAGAATAAACGTTCAGTTTTAATGTTGTCTTTCCTGCAATGTCTATTATGCACTGCTATAGCATATACAATAGACATTGCAGTAAAGACAACATTAAAACTGGACGTTTATTCTGCTCTCAGTCCCTCATATGTAATGTATGTATGAAAATCAATATCATTTGGTGTTCACATATGCATTATATAAGACAATGACAAACGAGAAAAACGATTTATTGAAAAGCAAAGAGTAATTGATCGATAAAATAGAGGGCAAAATGGGATTTACAGAAACGAATGGAGCGATAGATATGAAAATACGTGAGGATAAAGGAGAGAGGGAGAGAGAGAGAGAGAGAGAGAGAGAGAGAGAGAGAGAGAGAGAGAGAGAGAGAGAGAGAGAGAGAGAGAGAGAGAGAG